TAAATTAAATGTGACAATAATTGAATGTAAACCATTATTTACGTTGATTTATTTATAAAAATTTTTATTGTAACACATAATTTTTAGAATTTATTTGTTTTTTCTAGAATGATGATCTTCCCCAAAAACTGCAATACCATTTATAGCAAAATTCCTGACTGTATATACCAAAAAAGAAAAATGCCACATCTTCCACGTGGCTGAGTTACCATTTTTGGTGACGATCTTTGAGTTTGACCAATCATATTGCGGGTAAAAAAATAATAAAATTGCCGAACCACAATCATGTAAATCAGTCTAAATATGGTAATTTGGGATATCAGACCATCTTATTCAGGGATCATTCGGTCACAGGGGCGATGTTCCAAATCTCGTTCAATTTTAAATTCGTCTAGACCAAAATTGTAATACTGTTAAATTTATCAACAATTTTTAATTATCGGTAAAGAAAAATCCTGATTATTTTTTAACAGGGAATTTTCTAAACAGTGAGAGTATATAAAGGGATAAAATTATGTGGTCAAGATTTGTTGGCCAACTCAAAAATGCTAATCAACAACCTCTTGCCTCATTGTTTGGTACATCAACACCACCACAATCCGCTTCCTCAGCCTCAAGGATACCTACAAAACCTTATATGAGAAGAAAGTCTATCACTGGCTCTTCAAAAGATCCACGACTATTAGAGAGAAGGCGGAAAAGTACTTTGTTAGGGAATTTACCAGAGAATTTTTCAGAGCAAGAGCTTACACCGAAAATGTAAGTTTTTTTAAAAAAATATATAGCTTCATTTCTTATATCAGTCAAGTTGTAAAATGCTACAATTGCATCAATCGACCTTTATCCTTGAATTTTTTTGGGTAAGTCAATAATAATTATATCTTTGATTTATATATATCTATGTAATGTTAATTCTAGTTTAAATTTTTATTACAGATGCATTGTAAGAATTGTACAAAAAAAATTTTTGTACTTAATTTTACTGCTTGGCTTTTACTTTTTGTTTGATTTTTCTGTTTTCAATATGTGTGAATGTCTCATAACTTCAGTGAATAATTCGGTTTGATGGTGTAATTAGAATTCCTGCTGAACAATTACAAGATCTACATTCATACTTTGATAAATGGGAGAATTCTACAGTTGACGAGGTAGATTAATATTTACAAAATAAATGATCATTGGTATTATGCTGTTGTTAATGAAATAATTGACAATTAATAACTCATATATATAGGAACGTGATATGTTTTTTATTATAATGTGTAAGCAATTTTCTGATATTTACGCTGAACTTCCAGAATTTATCAAAGAAAGGTATTTATGAATTTATAAAATTATAAATTATATTTTACCTTTATAAATGTTATCTATACATTTTTATTTTATTTATACTTGTTTAGTCCGGAGAATTTAAACAATTTCACCGATGCAGCTTCAAAACAATTGATTTACAATATATGTTGCAATTCAGAAATAAAAGATGATTTGATAAATATTAAGGGTATTATTACAATAATAGTATATAATTATAATTATAATTATGTGATATATCTTTAAATGAAAAATTTTCTCTTATTATTATTATTATTATTATATGTTAGAATGTAATGAGGTTATGAAATTATTGACAGACAAAAACCAGCAATTTTATACACTCAAGACAATTAGTATATTGTGTAGAGGCCCAGTACGTGAAATTTCATTATTCTTATATCTTATTATTATTATTAGATTTCTTGTTGATGGAAATTAATAAAATGCTTGTGACTAATTTATTTTAATATTTAAACTAGCGATATTTACTTGAAATAATGATTGAAAATCAACTACCCGAGGCTTTGATAAAAACATTTTATAATTGTCTTCAATTTCTGCCATTAAAAGATTCAAATTTAATTGAAAATGCCGATAACAAAGATTTATCAAAGTCAAAATCACCTTGGATAGTTGTATCAGATATATTAGCCGATATTATTGTTAATTTTGTAACTAATGAAAAAATATTAAATATATTGATTGAAAAAGATTTATTGTTTTTATTGGTAAACATGATATTGTCACCAAATAATGATCTATCAGATGACAATCAACAAAAAAATATATGGCATGATAGGTATTTTTAGATGTTGTATTAGTATATCATCATTTAAGATCAAGATTTTAATGATATTCAGACTTTGCTAACAATAGCAATAACCACATAGATCTCTTGAAATCCTTACCGACCTTTTTGCGTCCACTGTCGTCAATATGAAACTTTTAAAATATTTTCAAAATAAGGATATTTTGGGAAAAATCTTTAAAATTATAAATAACAGTTTAGATCTTGAAAATTTTAAATTCAAAGATACCCAACAATTATTATACGCTTGTTTTTTGCTTGTTGAATTATTGCAGGTTTCTTATTTTATTTTATTTTATTTGTGTTTTCTTAATTTACTACGATTCTAGAGATTTAATTTTGACTTTTTAATTAAAAGGGAACTTATGACATTTCATCTGTTTTCTTGGAAGAATTTTACAAGATGAACGGTTATGAAGCATTTTTTTATTTACTTGTATTACCTCCATTTGAAGAATCGAATGTTGAAACTAAAGTAATTATTTTTTAATGATTTAAATAGTTTTACGATTTTCTTCAAATAATCATTATTATTTTTTAACAAAAAAAATATATCTCATAGGATACATTAATAACTATGGTCGAAGATTTAGTTTTTGCTGGTGTATCTGAACTAAAACCTATCATACCACATGGAACACCATACCAACACAGTGGTAGGATTAAAAAAATTCTTAATGATTTATAATGATTTTTTGTCTTTTAAATGAATATTTTTAACATTATAGATTTCGAGTTGCCTACCCCAAATGAAGATGATGGTAGGTTTAGAATTCTAAAAGATTGCAAGTACTTATTTATACATATATTAATTATAACTTTTCAAACGACAATTCATAATTTAAATAATAGGAACGCTTTTTCGTAATGAAAAGGCACTTCAAGTTTTAGCATCAACACTTTTATATCCAGATAATAGTTTGTCACCATTTCAAACAAGGATAGAAATATCAGATTCTATTGATATTCCAGACTTGTTTCGTCAAAAAATAGTTGTTGCAATTGCTGAAATTTTCAAATCAAATTCATTGAATTATTTTCTTACTGAATCCTTAAATACATTACCAACTTTGATTGAAAAACTGGATAATTTTTCTCCAAAAGTTCAGGTATGAAATAATGATCATCATATTAATTTGCATATATATGTATTCATTCATTCAAAAAATAAAATAGCCGAATAAAAACATATATTAAGATTATTTTGTATTAATTTTAGAGATCAATTCTAGACCTATTGGTCTTTGTTATGGTTGATTTGAATTATGTGCCTTTTCGAGAACTAGTTGTATTGTCTCTTCATTTTCAAGGACAATCTTTGAAACATACAACTGCAATTGCATGCGAGACTGTGATTTCTTTATTACAATTTGCGTCAAAGTTTAAAGATGTCTTTAGAGAAATAGGACTGTTAAATATGTTATGCAGTCTTCTTCAAGAACTGGCAACCACTTTACAAGATCAATTTGGAAATCCACAATTTATGAAAAGAATATCAATATCACATTTTAATGACTTTATGGAACAGAAAAACAAAATAAAAAATCGTTTTGGATCTGAAGTAATTGAAAACTTTCAATTGATATCAGAATGCTTGGTAGAGCTATTGAAAAATAATAATGCAAATTTGTCCTTATTTGGTACTGCGTAAGTACTTGTTATATATTCAAATTTCGACAATAATTTAATTGAATTGATATTAATCTTAATTAAATATATCATAATAGTTATAAAGGCAATTTATTTGACTTACTACATTATGATGAAACTCGTGATGGGGCATTAGGGATTTTTGAAACGTTAGTTGTTCAAAGTTATGTACAATTCAATGCAGAGCCACAAACACCAAAGCAAACTATTTCAAGAATTTCAATATCGTCAACATCTACCATTGATCATTCTTTTCAATTTGGAAGACTTGTAGAAATTGTCCAATCTCTTTCCAGATTCGATTTAAAAATGAAAAAGCATATCTTATGGTCAATGAAGCGTATATTAATCGCGTGTCCTGAAATGAAGGATGTTTTTCGTGAGAATGGCGGCTTTGTGTGTCTTGTTAGTTTATTAGTTGGATTAGAAGATGTCTACAAAAAATTTTCTTTAAACACTTCTGATGGCGAAATGAATAGCAATAATAATAATACTTTAAAAGGACAAAATTACGAATCATGCGAATTTCCAACAAAAATTCAAGCAGTAGATACATTAAAGGCAATTTTTTCACTTTTTGCAGAGGCAATGTCAAGACATGATTTCAATCGAACCTTTTTCGGCAAGACTATTGGATATAAATCAGTAGAGGATGCCATATGCCTCACTGGAATTCTTGAACCTACCGGATCCCCAAATGAATTTTTTGGAATAATTTTTGGATTTGCTCTTGAAGATGATTTTGTTCATGAAATCTTTGTTGAAAGAGAGCCTGAAGATATTCAACAAGTTGCTGATGACAAGTCAAGCAAAATCACTAAATTATTAGGTAATATGACAGAAGAAATAAAAAATCCAGATGTTATAACTACAATTCTTAGGTTACAATCACTTGTAAGGTATAACTCAAAGCTTAATTATCAAATTTATGATGCGCTATTGGCTCTTGCCTTTGCTAATCGAAGGAACCAGATTATGATGAATCAATATGGTGTGCTTGAGATTGTATTACAACGATTGTACCTTGTTAAAGGAGATGATGAAGATGACGATGAAGATAATAACGAAGACGAAACCCAATTTGATCCGATAGAAAATAAATATCTGACCAAGTTGGCACAAAGATTGATTGAAATGGGTGTTACCACTAAGGAAATACGATTTTTGTTTGAACAATTTAAAAATGGAAATAATTTACCAGAAGAAATCCATATAGATTTACAAGGTTCATTCATGAATGTATTGGATATGGTTCTTTTTGGGGTACAAAGGAGTCGATGGCCACGTTTTATTCAATTTGATATGTCACAATATGGTTATTCTTGTTTTGAAATGAGTAGCCTAACTGATAGGCAATTTCCGCCTACTAATGGTGGTTATACTTTCATGAGTTGGCTTGATATTGAGAATTTCGATTCGAAAGTTGATTTATCACTTTTGGGTTTAAGTGATGATGAAAAAAGATGTTATTTGCATGTTTTTTTTGAGTCAAGCTCCCATAAACTTGTTGTTCAGACTTCTCCTAAACATGCAACTAAATTTGATAGTTATGAATTTCGAACTGGCTGTTGGTATCATATAGCGTTAGTGCATAATAAGTCACGTTTAGGAGCTCCAGCCGCGATGTCTTTGTATGTGGATGGACGATATGTTGAGATGATAAAATGTTCATATCCAACACAGCCTATCACAAATAAATCTATAAGGGTTTTTATTGGAACACCCAAAGATTACGCACAACAATTAGGAAAAGGGTTGGCACGACTAGCTTGGGATCTTGGGCCATGTTATTTATTCGAAGATGATTTGGACGGTGATATTGTTAGTGTCTATTACCATCTTGGCCCTCGTTATTGCTCAAATTTCCAAGATTCGCTTGGCCAATTTCAAACCTACCAAACTTCAACTTTGTTAAATATGAGACTTGAAGCCCTAAGTCGTCAGCGCAAAGATACTAGTGTAGAGTTAGAACATTCAGCCATAGTAAATGCTATTCGAGGTAACAATAGTCAAACTCTACCTGAAGAAAAAATTATTTTTGCTTATAATGCAAGTAATGTGCTTGTATGTGGTCAAAATGCTAGTATTCTTGGATCAGGCTTATCTGGAGGAACTTCTCAAGCATTAGTACTCGGAACTGCGAATACAAAAGTTATTTTAAATGCTTCCGTTCCAAAGGTTGAACGTGCTTTAAGAGTTCTTCATGGCGTTGGATATTTGCAAGGCGATCCAGTTACAGCTATTCCTTATGGAATGGATGATTCAATTTGGAAGATTGGAGGCTCCGCTATAGCTTTAAGATTAATAGATCTGGCCGAGGTATAACAACAAAAATAAAAAAATTAGGCCATTTTTTATTTATTATAACCCATATAATTTATTTAAATGTGTATTCTTTTTTTTTTGAAAAAAAGACAACAACAGATCTTTATAAAACTGTTTGCATTCTTATTGAGTTGATTCGATTCAGTTGGAGGAATTCAGAAGATATGGAAAGGATTCATGGTTATGAAATTTTGGCATATTTATTAAAACAAAAACAAGGGCTTTTGACTTTGGATCTTTTGAATTTATTACTTGTTTTTGTTGGATTAAATCCAATCAATTTAACGTGAGCTATTATTTAAATAAATTTTTTTTACAAAATATTATTATTATATATATATTTTTTTTTTTTTGGAGTCATTCATTATCTAAAAATATTTTATTTAAAAACAGGGATTCAGTTATTATTAATCCTCTTGCTTACCGATTCCTATTACTTGATTTTGATTTGTGGAAACATGCTGATGAGAAAGTGCAAAGAGCACACCTGCAACAATTTGCTACTTTTATTCAATTAAGTCAACATCATCATTTTAATGCTAAACGTCTTAGCAAAATGCGTATCCTTTTTTTTTATTTTAAAGAAAATAAATATACTATCATATTTAAACAAACTTTAATAAATATAAATTCTCAAATCAATTTTACTCTATAGATGTTGTTAAAAAAATGTTGGTGGCTTTGAAAACAAATATTTATTCAAACGATTTATTGACTGATTTTATTAAAACTCTTAAGATAGTAGTTAAATACAACTTCACCACGGAAGTCATAAGATCAATTGCAACTTTTCTTGTTTCAATTTTAAATAAATGTAATTATTATTATTTTTAATTCATGTTTTTTTTTGTTTTAAAAATTAACTATTTTTTATATGACCTTTGTTTTTATGAATTAAATAAATAGCTACATCTCGGCGTACTGGATGCAATACACCTCAAAAAGAACCTTTATTTAAGGTAGAATTATTTAACTCTGATCCAGAAGAAATTTCTAATTGGAAAATGCCATTAAAGTCTATCGTAACTGATGCTAAAACAGTTTTGGTTGAAACACAACTAAAACAAATTGGTGTAATGGTCATGGAAATGATCACAGAAATTGTCTGTGACAAGCTTAATCCTTTCTATGTCAATAAGTTTGCTACAACAATCACAAACAAATGGTCTTTGCTTTTTTTTGATGTAGATTCAAATCCTCTTTGGGTTGTTTGTGCAGCTAGAATTTTAGCAAGACTTTTTCATTCTCAAGGAATTGCTTACATTTCAAAATTTAAAACTGCTTCAGGAGGATTTATAGTTATGCAAAAGCTTCTTCCTCAATGGTGGAATCTTACACAATTAAATCAAGTATTATTTGCTATGCTTTTTGGTGTAGATATTTGTGATGTTCCGTTTGATGCACCATTTGATCTTTTCACTCTTCTGAATTTGTTTAAAGGCAAAGATGATACAATACATATAGCTTGTCCTGAAGTTTTACCAATCATTTTACTTATTATGAAAGAGGGAATGGATTCGTTCGTTTACTTAAGTTATCAGACTGAAAAAGACACTAAGGCAAAGGGCATTACAAAAGACGATACTGAATTAGAAAAAACTAAAACAGAACCTAAAACTCACAGGCGACGTTCACGATCAATTTCAGGTGAAATCCAAACTAAGAGTGATGAAATAATTCAAGGTATTATCATTATATGAATTAATTAATTTATAGTTGAATTTAATTTTTTAATAATTTCTTTTTTCCTTTTTTTTTTTTTTTTTAATAGTCGAGATACCAAATGATCATACGAAAGAAGCTTTATCAAAATTATCCAATATGCAACAAACTCTTATACATTTTTTCACTGACCTATATAATAATTCGCCAGAATTCAATGAATTATGTTATAAAAGTGAAGTTATGGGTGGTTTCGTTGATATTTTATTTCATATAATATGCTCTTGTGATGAAATTTTAGTAGATGAAGAATTACATTCAAAGAAACTTGGGCTTACTTTTGATGCAGATACAGCTTTTGAAAACTATGCAAATATTGGGTCCACAGGGGTACTTCCAGTGCTTACAAGCATCTCACGTCAATCAACACAAAGTTTTGAAAAAGAGCTTCAAGAAGAATTGAAATCGATTCCATCGAAGAATTCTCATTTGAGTGTTGTTTCTGACATGATTACAATCAGTCCATCGTCATCACCATTTAATCTTAGTCCTGCTCAAAGTGATACAGAAGATGAAACTGTAAATTCATATAATATTCCAAAAATGCCACTTAAATCTAAATTCAAGTTTCCTATATATGCTGAAAATAAAAATTCAACGGTGGAAAGTCTTCTTGAGTTTATTGCTTCGATTTGCGTAAATTCTATTATTGAACTAAAGTCCAAAGCCTTGGCTGGGTTAGAAATAGTTTTAAGAGTAAGTCATTATAAATCATTATTGTTTTTCATATATTTGAATGCAAGTTAATCCAAATCTAATCTAATTTATCAGTCTTTTCCTCCATCATATTTAGACAATCAGGTATAAATATTTTTAACTGTTATATTTTTCATAGTTTTTATGTATGCTATAATAATAATAATAATATTCGTTTTCTATTAAAATTCAGATCCAATTTGAAAGTTACATTTTGTCACATATTGCAGGAACTTTAAAAAGTACGCTACAACTCGATATTAATTTATTGGATAATCAAAGTGTTATATCGAATGTTTCCAAGTTTGGACAAATAAGCGTGGATGCTATTTACCAAGGTAATTTTGCATATGAGACATGCTATCAAAAATTTTTGATATGTTTAATAACATTTATTTTGCTGTAGGATGGTTTTTAAATGGTCGAAATCAAGTTTATGATGTGATAACCATTGTTCTTGAGGGGATACAACAGAATGAAGATACTAATGGAAGACGAATAAATGATCCATGCATTTCATCTTTATATCGCTCACTAAACCGTCTAATTTTATTCAAGCTATCTGAACTAGATCAAACTTCTAATGATGGCAATATCATTAATGAAATGTTGGAGAAGTTGATTTATAATCAAAAAATTATTTTTGGTCCATATAATCCTGATGTAGATTTTTTGAAGTGTTTGTGTTATTATCTTTATAAGTTTTTATTTTTTGACCATCAAGAAGTAAAAACAAGTACAATGAGTGTATCCTTTATATCACCCTGGACATGAGATATAATTAAATTTAATATAGTAATCATTATATAAACTTCCTTAACTCTTGCTTTTGTTTTTAAGGTTTGGAAACTTTTGATGCTTCAAAAACCTATAGAAATGTCAGGAATTTTAAAAACACGTGTTAAAGGAATAGGTAATTTCTTACATAATAATTTTTTTAATTTTAATTTCAAGTATTTAGAGTACTAAGAAATTATTTGGGTAATATGTATATATGTATGTGAATTTTAATAATAATTAAAAAGAACATAAAGAATTACTTGAAGGATTTTGGAAACTTTTAGAGATGGTAAGTTCCTGAAATTTTTTTGATCCAATTAATAAATTAAATTATGCTCATTGTGTTTCTAAATTTAACCATAGGATGTTAATTCGTTTTATGAATGGATCGAATCTAAAAAAACTCAATTGGATGTATTATTTTTAGAGAATGTTTATAAAACCTGGGAATCTCATGTTATATTTGAAACAAAAAACAGTAAAGATGCTATTAGGAATTCTCATTCAAAACGAATGAATAAATTGAAAAGAATGCATAAAAAATTTTTATTTGAACAAGATTTCTTTGATCAATATTGTATAAAAACAAAAATGTGGTCAAAACATATTCAAGATATTGAGACAAGTCGATATTATAGGTCAATTCAAGACAATATTGATCATTACAATTATGTTAGAGATGAGTGGATAAAAACATCAGCCGACCTATTTCGAGAAAGAGCGCTATGGGGACCAAAAGCATCTAATAATCATGCAAAATGGAGGTTGGATTTTACAGAAGGTTAGATGTGAATTACGAATTGTAAAATTTTTAAGTTTCTTCTTTTTAATCTTGACGACACGCCTGTTAAATAAATGTTTATAATTATTTTTAGGACGTTGCCGAATGCGTAAAAAGTTAGAACATAACAATGAAGATTTGAAATTGTATTCTTATAAGCCAAAAAGTAGCAAATATGAAAATAAATCTCAAGAGGTTTGGTTTATTTTATAAATAATTATTTTCTATTTATTTATACACACGTATGAATATTGACTTTTTTCCTTTTTTTAAAAAAAAAAGAATGTCAATGAAGTCTCTGGCAACTCAATAATGAATAGTCCCAATAAATCATCGACAAGTAAGTGTATTAATTTATTTAGAATTAATGTTTGCTTAATTTAACATTTAAATAAGATTTGTTCTTTATATTGTTATATAGATTTGGAAGTTCCCAGTATACGTAATAAGAGAGGTATTTATTAAATTTTTTTATAAATTTTCTTCAAAAAAAAAAAAATCTATATTTAAACAATCATTTGATTTAAAAATTTATTTTACGTTAGCAAAATCACCAGAACGTCAAATGACTCTTACTCCTGCAAGTGAAGTGGAGGTTCCTGTAGATGGTGTAGAATCTGTTGACAATAGTGAGAATTTTATGAAATTTGGGCTAACCTTTATCAATTGATAAAATTGTTAACTTTTTTAAAAAAACAGGTTATACAGGATCTCAGGCTGAAATTGATGAAGAAACAGCTTTTGAGGAAGACAAAAATCGTAAAGTTTTAAGATCATTGGAACATAATGATGCAGTTTTAGATATATTTAACATTAGCCGAATTAATGGCTTAGACGCATGTGGCAAGTGTTTGTTTGTTAACAGAATGAAATCAACTTATACGCTGATAATGAAATAATTTTTCTCTTATTAATTTTTCTTTTAATGAAAATAGAGGGTCTTTTACTTTTATGCAAGCAAAATTTATATTTAATTGATAATTATTTTCAAAGGTCAGACGGGGAGATTGTGGATATTTGGGATGCGCCCATCAAAGTAATAATGATTTTTAATATTATATCCATTCATTTATTTAGAATTGGTTTAATACTAATCACAAAATTGTTTTTTTATAAAATTTAAGGAAAGGGATCAATATGTACAAATGCTTGCATCACATGCAGGTTATGGTAGTAATCCAACAGCAAATCCTAAACCAAAAAAACACAAAAGTCGAAAATGGTATTTGTTCTATTTTAGTAAAATATAATTTCAGGAATGAATTATTTACATAAAAATTTTTTTTAAAAAATAAGGGCATTTGACGATATTAAAGAAGTGCATAAAAGAAAATTTCTATTTAGGTATTTTAATAATTGATTATATAATAAAATTTATTTTTTATTTAATTAAATGTTTTCTTTTTTATTTACTTGTTTAAAAAAATATATAGAGATGTTGCATTAGAAATTTTTTTTGCGGATGGAAGAAACTATTTAATAACATTTTTTTTGAAAGAAAGAGATATTGCATATAATAAACTTGTGGCAAGAGCTACGTTTTCGATTAGTGGTTCTGAATCTGTAATAGGAACAACCGGAAATCTTGATGTTGGGTCACCTGCAACTCCTTTAATAAGCCCACCATCTGCCTTGTCATTCAAGTTACCTAGTTTCTTTGCAAACTCTTCTCTAGCAGAGTTAACTTCAAGGTGGGAAAAAAGAGAGATTTCTAATTTTCAGTATTTAATGCACTTAAATACTATAGCTGGAAGATCTTATAATGGTGAGCACATTTACCTTGTTCGACAATTTTGCAAAAAGGCAAACGCTCATTAGTAACTTTTTTTACATAGATCTTACCCAATATCCTGTTTTCCCCTGGATCCTTGCTGATTACACTAGTGAAGAAGTGAGTTTCAGATATATATATATACTATAATAATTAATTATCGTATTTTATGAGATTGTTTAATATAGATAATAATAAATTATATAGTTGGATTTAAAAAGCCCTGAAACATTCCGTGATTTATCAAAACCGATGGGTGCTCAATCCATGGAAAGAAAAAGTAATTATATTACAATCCTCTGAAAGCAGTAAATTGCGGATTAAAATTTTAATTCATTATTATTATTATTATTATTATATTTAGAGGAATTTCAAATTCGATATCGTTCATTTGACCCTACTGCAAACGCGACAACTCCAGCATTTCATTATGGAACACATTATTCATCTGCAATGATTGTATGCTCATATTTAATTAGACTTGAGCCATTTACTCAACAATATTTAAAGCTTCAGGTATATTATATTATTTATATATTATTTAGAACCATTTTTTACGCATAATCGAGATATTATATGCAAAATAATAAAGTTGCTTTAACATAATCAAGGGTGGACATTTTGACCACGCTGATAGGTTATTTCATTCAATTTCCAAAGCATGGTCATCTGCAACTCGGGATAACATGAGTGATGTTAAAGAATTGATCCCAGAATTTTTTTATCTTCCCGATTTTTTGGAGAATACAAATAAATTCAATTTTGGTTTGTTTGTAAATTTAATTTTTTATATTTCTTTTAACGTTATTTTAACACGTTTTATTCATTTTACAGGTGTTAAACAAGCAACTGGTGAAGTTATTGATTCTGTGATCCTTCCACCATGGGCAGATTGTGACCCTAAAATTTTTATACATAAACACCGTCAGGTTAGTTCTTACACTATTAAATAAGTACTTCAATTTTCAACAATATCCTTAATGCTTGAATTATTTTAGGCTCTTGAATGTGAATATGTTAGTACACATATTCATGAATGGATAGATTTAATATTTGGATACAAACAGCAAGGACCTGCGGCTGTTGAAGCTGTTAATGTATTTCATCATCTTTCATATGAAGGCGCAATAGGTAATTCATGAATTATTTATAAAATAATCAATTATTTTTTTAAAAAAATGATTTTCAACAGCAATAATAAACAATAATTAAATTTGGGTGAGGAAGATTTGGACTCAATAACTGATCCTGTTGAGCGTTCAGCAACAACTGGAATTATCCATAATTTTGGCCAAACACCACGTCAGTTATTTGTCAAACCTCATCCAGCAAGGCAAGCTCTGACTAACGACCCGATTATGTGTAATGGACTTTATAAATTCCAGGATAATGTTGAAAAATTAATTCAATCCATGTATCCACTTCAAGGTACTTTTACTACAAATTTTATTCACAATTTCATCTTCATGACAAATTTTAAATGATCAAAAATAATTTTGCTCTTCAGATATTCGATTACAAGTCCGTGAAATGCGTCTATCAAATGAACGTTTAATTGTTGTAAGCACACAAAAGGTATTAGTTCCGCCAAACTACACACATTACGTCGAATGGGGATATGCTGATAATAGTCTTCGACTTCACCAAACTGACACGAGAAAGGTATGATCAATTATTTTATTTTGTCTTATTGATGCCTTACTATCTATTCATATATTTTTCGTTATTTAATATTTATTCATATTCTAGTTAATAGGACTATATGAAAATCTTCATTTAGAGACTATAAGTTGTGCTTGTTTTGCTGATGGAAGGACATTTATAACCGGTGGTACTGATGCGGTATGATATATTGAATCTATTAATGATCATTGTAATTTTTTAAAATTTATTAAAAAAAAGCTTTTTTTTGCAGGTTATTTGTATTTGGAGACTTAAATGGTTAACAAAAGCACCAGAATTTCGATTTATGGAGTGTCTAAGAGGGCATTCAGCAAAGATAAACTGCGTAGCAGTTTCAAGGTCTTATAGTATTATTGTCAGTGGTTCAGATGTAAGTAAATGATAACATAAATTTTTAAGTAAATAATATCTATATCTATTTAATTTAATAATTGATTTTGTAGGATATGAGTTGTATAATATGGGATTTAAACAGAATGAAATATATCAGGCAATTAAAAAATCATGAAATCGGAGTTCAGGTAGTAACCATTTAAGTGATTGATTACATTTATAAGTGTGATTATTTACTAAATATATTTTTTTTAAAAAAAATTAGTTTGTCGCAATAAATGATACAACAGTAAGAAAATTTATTATTCAATTTAAACAAAATCTAATGACTATATTGAATAATTGAATAATATAAATATCCTTATTGTTTTAAACTTGATATTTAAAGGGTGATATTATTACATGTAGTGGTTCGGTTATTCGTATATGGACTATCAATGGAGATCTTTATGTAGAAAAAAGCATATCACAATTTGCAGATCCTATTCAGTGTTGTATATTCTATGAGGTGAGTTTTTTTAATTATTAATGATAAAAATAGGTTGCTTGATAACAAATTTCTATTTTTTGCTTAATAGGGTAAACATAATGAATGGTTGTATGAAGATTTAATTTTTACAGGACATAAAAAAGGTGTAATAAAGGTATTTTAAAGAAAGTTTTCCTTATGGCTTTAATTTTTTTATTTCATGATAATGAATTTATCCGATCTCATATTTAGGTTTGGAATAAGAGTTTGGTGCCAAAAACAACTTCTAACAATGAGCAAAAAGGTCTGAAATGGGATTTAACTTTGAGGCATCAATTAAAACACGAAAACAGATTTGGGCCATCAACAACTACTAATGTTGCTTCTTTAATGGTTTCTGGGTAATTATCAAGAATAGCAACGAATTTCTTATTTATTTAAATATATGCAAATTTTTTGACATTAATTAAATTCCATCAAAAGAACTCAAAGAGTACTTTATAGTGGAGATTCTTCGGGAAAAGTAAATTCTTGGGTGCTGCCTGATGTGAAGATTGAAAATCACTGGATGTCTGATAGTATAACAGACAATTGTTTGACGTGCGGAATGAGATTTGCTGTATTAGGTAAATATAGTAAGCTTTAAAAATTAAGAAAATCAAAAAAACTTATTAATTATTATTATTTCAATCAGAACGGAAAATTCGGTGTAAAACTTGTGGAGGAATTTTTTGTTCAAGTTGTACACAACCTTGGTCAGATAGAAGTTCTAGATTTTGTGATTATTGTTGTGATAAATTGGAAATTTTATTTGAAAAATCTTAATATTATTATTTATTTTTTAACTTTTGATGTTATATATATAATTGTAATAATAATTTTATAAAAGCATTATAAAATTTTATTTATTAATTTATTAATAGATTAAATCAATGTTTCGCTATGTGCAACTAGTTAATGCGAGGTGTCACTATGTATGTGTCCCTCGTCAGACGCTAGATATAATGCTACAATTTATTTAATGGAACATAAACCAACATTAAAACAGCCTCTATTTCCATTGAAGTTACATATTTAATGGTCGCATTCGAATATACACGTATTTAAAATTGACATGATGTTGGTAGTGATGTTAGCCGTTTACTACCTAAATTGGTAATAACCAGAAGGTAATGCGAATATCTATTCCCAAATTTAGAAATTATGTATGCAGATTATTAACCAGCTAACATCACTATTATAATTTTTTACTATTTAAAAACCAATAAATAGATAGAATATTTATGATTTTGAAACGTTTTAATAACATTTCCGTTAAACAAGATTTTATAAATCTCGTTGTTTTTACACGCTATAATGAATCGATATCACAATGTTTCATTAGAGAGTGTCCTTATAATTTTTGGCCGAAATTGTCGTGAAGATCGTTTTGTCTGAAAGGATTTTTGGCATTCCCTTATTGAAAGCTATGAATAAAAAAATATAATCAATCGGAAATCCAAGGTCCTTCTATGAATCGGTGAACGATCAAATTCGACTTTGCATTAATACTAAAAAATTTTTTTCTTTTTTATAAAAATTTTACTGTTCATGTAACTTGTTTTTTAATTAGAGCTTTTATTTGAATAAGAACTGTTCAAGTTATTAGAACTATTCGTGAATATTCAAATGAAACAATAAAATAAATAGAATTATAATTAAGATTGAAACAGGGAAATTGCAGCTGCTTTTTTTTTTTGCAATGTTTATTAAATCTAGATATGCATATTTAATTTGTTTGGGAGAAGCTTCTATTTCATTATTTTCAGCTATGCATTTGAAGATTTTTAAGCATATGATATGGGGCTGTTTCAAAGTTTATGCTAATTAACTTTATTGTATGCCTGTCTATGCTAAAATTTTCATTATTGGATATCAGGGAAATTTTTGGAATGTTTCATAGTCGGACATTCAATAAATAGTTATTGAATGTAGAAACATGCAATAATGCGTCAAAAAAATCGGGAATGGTTAAAATAGTGTCATTTGCGTGACACACTATTTTTTAAACTCGGCAATCATTGATTTTTTTTTCATTATTGCAAATAAAAAAGATTATTAAAGAAAATCAACTCCGCCAATGCCACATGAAAGTTATATTTGTGACTATAATATACAGTTCATGTTATCAATGAAAATAATAATTAGGGTAAAAGCATTTATAAATGACTAGTTGTTATTTATTTTAATGATAATAGATGAACAATAATAAATTAATTAATAGTATAGTTAATATGGTTAGATGATGTTGATAACACAAATGATAGTTCTTAATTTATAATTGTTTAAAAATTCAATATTTATTCTTATTGTATTTTTTTCTTTGATGTAGTTTTTGTACTAAATTGTTTTTTATTTTATAATTTTTTTTCTAGATGTTTGATCAACCAATGTTTTGCTTTTTTTTAATGAAATGGGGTTTTTTTTGTCTCTAGGGAAATAAGCACTGAATTGTTTATTTGTTTACCTGTTTTAATAAAATTGATTTTATTTATTGTTTGTTTTTAGTAGAAATCAATAGATTAAATGATATATTAATAGTAATTTTTTATGCATTTGATGATCTTGACCAGAGAAGGAAAGAAGTTGCATAAAATACAGATATCAATATGTGCTTTACTAGTAGCCAGAGATTATTTTTTCATAAAATGGTCTAAATATCTTCTTATATATAAATGTGGAGCAAATCTATAGTCTTTTACATTATATAGGTAATCATACAAGATTCTTTATCATGTGTTTTGCTTTTTTTTAATGAAATGGGGTTTTTTTTGTCTCTAGGGAAATAAGCACTGAATTGTTTATTTGTTTACCTGTTTTAATAAAATTGATTTTATTTATTGTTTGTTTTTAGTAGAAATCAATAGATTAAATGATATATTAATAGTAATTTTTTATGCATTTGATGATCTTGACCAGAGAAGGAAAGAAGTTGCATAAAATACAGATATCAATATGTGCTTTACTAGTAGCCAGAGATTATTTTTTCATAAAATGGTCTAAATATCTTCTTATATATAAATGTGGAGCAAATCTATAGTCTTTTACATTATATAGGTAATCATACAAGATTCTTTATCATGTACTTTATACTGTGATAATTTACTTGGGCAAAGTCTCCCTCCCCTCCAATTCAGCACAAGTAAATTTGCTTGCAATTATTGACAGCACACGAATACAACCATCCTGTTCTCCTTTATTTTCATAAAGTGTTTCCTCAAAACATCCCAAAAATTTTGTTTAATCATTGATAGATAATAATCGATTGTTTGAATTGAATGTAACTTAAACTTACTAATTTAAATTATTACACATTCAATATTGTTTTCCAATGCAACAAAAAAATTTTGAGCATCAATTCTCTGAATCCTCTGTGGTGGTTCTGTACAAGAAAACATACAAAAAAAGACAAAAAACATTGTTAAAGTTGCACCAAGTTAATTCTTGTTAAAAATAGTATATTCGGGAATTGTATTTGTTTGTATCCAATATATTGGTCCTACCTCAAAAATTTTCATTTATTTATTTTTTAATAATTTAAACAAAAAAAGTTTTATTTAAAGTTTTTTATAAAAAATATAAATATGCTTGGAAGACGAAAAACTCCCAAATCTCCAGGTTCAGAAACAACAATGACGAATAACAATAATAGACGATCACCCAAAAATCGTGATAGTATTAGTAGTGCAAGAGATAAAGAAATACAAAAGGGTGGAATTGATCATGTTGGTAACGGAATTACAGAATACACAGCATATGTAAAAAAACGACCAGAACACGAATATACAGCATATGCAGCTAGTCCTTTTTCAAGAGAAGAAGAGTTAGTGAGAAAACTCTTAGAATCAGATCAAGCATCTGAAACATCGTCAGTTCAAGGAGTGATTGCAAGAATACATCATCGTCATACTATCAATACAAATAATTATATTACAAATGTTTATCAGAATAAATTTTTTTTAATTTGTTTGATTATATTAATTATGACTGTAATTTATAGTAATAATAGAAATTATAGCGATAACTCGCCATTATCAAAGCTTGAATCCCTTGTAAGATTTCAATTCTGGCAAACGGATGATAATACTTTTAAAATAAAACATATTGTTGAAGGAAAAGGTAACGTTTTATCAGGCGATGATAACGATACGGTGCTTACTATAGACGATTTGAAAGCGATTATTATGGACGAGGTTAAAAATTGTATGGGAAATTCAGGCAACATAAAATCCAATGAACCGAATCCTGATTTTTTTCGTTCATTAATAAATTCAGAAGTTAAGTCAATATGTTTATCAGAACTTAAAAAAGAAACTTCACAAATCAAAAGCGAAACACAAAGATACAGAGGTAGAAAACAAGAAAGACAAGAATTACTTGATTTGATACGAAAAGAAGCTAAGGATATTGTATCACAAGAACTTTTGGTGTTTTCTCAAGATAAATTGAATCGACCAGATTTTGCTCTTCATTCAGGTGGTGCCAAAGTTATCAGTAGATTTACAAGTAAAACTTATGAGCTTTGGCCTGAAAAATGGTATCAAAGATTATTTGCATATGTATCAGGTCAAGGTATATTAAGAGGCAAACCACCAGTGACAGCTATTTCACCAGACATCAACGTTGGACAATGTTGGCCTTTTCCAGGTCAGGACGGTCAAATAGCAGTATTATTGAATAGACGAGTTTATGTCACCGCAGTTACCTATGATCATGTTAGTAAACGTGTCGCGGTGGATGTCCTTAGTGCACCCAAAGAATTTGAAGTTTGGGGAATTATAGATGACGGAACTGGTGGCAGAACCAAGAACACAAAAAATATCGATTATGAAGATGATGGTGAGGGATTGTTTATGGAGTCTAAAGAGGAAGATTGTGGTTTTCGTCAAGACGGAGAATACGTACCAAATAAAAACAACGATGATGATGATAACAATGAATCAAAATCTTTTGTTGATATTGATCAATCATTAGAAAATATCACGACGGGTGATCTTAAACTTGGAACTTCATCGCTCCATTTATTTTTAGGTCGTTACACATATGATATTGAAGGATTACCAATACAAACATTTGAAGTGCCATCAGATCTTCGTAAAGATAATAAACCTGTAAGAGCTGTCATTATGAAAATTAATAGTAATTGGGGCAAACCTGGCTACACTTGTTTGTATAGATTTCGTGTTCATGGGGATCCTGTAGATAAATTAGAAAATTAAGCATACACACAAGTTGTTTATATTTACAATTGTTATATTATTGCATTCATTGTTTTCTTTTTTTAATTTGCGCATTTTACAATTATTTTAATTATTTTATACTCTTTACGCAGTGTTGTGCAATTGGAACATTGTAACGCTATTGGAATGTTCTAATGTGATTCCATTGTGGTTCCAATGTAGTAGACCTTCAATCGATATTGACCAATAAAATTCAGTTGTGTGACACTATAATTTGAATTTCATTGGTTAACTTCATTGGAACCTTTAATTGGAATTTGTTGGAATGTTCCAATGAAAATTGTTGGAAACATAAATGGCACAACACTGCCTTCACGCATCTTTCTATATTTTCATTGTAACAAAAATTTATTTGTATGTACTTTTATATATAGATTATTTATTAATTTAGTGCATCATTTTCATTAAAATAAATGATTGCGTTGTATCTTTTACCCTCGGGAAGCAAAGATCTGCATCCAATTATTATTTTATTTTTTTTTGCTATTAAAAAGAACACCGTTATAATGCTGTCTAATGTTTGTCCATCCACAAGTATGAGTTACTTTTTCAAAAGGATTCTCCATTAAACAACTAGAGAAAATTCACATGATTCATTCTAAAATCGCTGAACTAAAGCTTGGAATTCTTTGAACACTATGTGGCATCAGAAAGCACCTTTGGAAAAAGGATCCCAGAAATTCATTATAGATAGATAGATACTATTAATATTCTAGTGTCAGACTCTAAGTTACAGAACTGGACATCGAAAGCCTGGAAAGCCAATATCTCTCTCCATGATCAAGCCTTTTCTTTATCTTACCGCCAGTCATTAAAAATCAATCGATGAGAGCTTCTTATACATGCTGTCAATTCGGCATGACACCACCTAAAGCCGTAAAAGTCGTAAACCATAAAACCGTAAAGCCTTAAGGCCTTAATTATTGAGGTATACTATCACTATATATATATATATATATATATATATATATATATATATATATACACGTATACAAACAATAATATTTATTCTTATAACGCGAAAACAATTTATTAGGTTATAATAGCTAAAAACTATCTAATGAAAAAAGCTTCAAAATCAAACATTGAGTAATATCATCCACCACTTCTCATCGATGCTTCTTTGATTACTATTATTTTGTTATTGAACTCATGAAACTCCATTTATTTATTGTAATACAACTTAATCAATATAATTACCAGCCATTTAAAGCAACAGATCGATATCTTTAATAATATAAACGGCAGTTTTTTTTGTTTACGAATGAGTCTTGACTAACGTTGTTATTATTATCGTAATTGTGGTAACAGCGCTATTGCAAGATGTTATTTCATTGTTTTATTAAAATAAGAAAACTATTTACAGTATGATCTGTTATGGCATTATAGCCTTTGCGGCTATATATATATAGGCTGTAAATAATTACGACTTGCGATTTATGGATGGCAATACGGCACGCGCCGTAACTAATCTTACATTAAATAACGAATGGAAACAAGTTGCAGCGTTAAGTGCCTTGATATCACAAAAGATCGCGGATGCAAATCGTGTGATAGTGAAGGAAGGGTTTCTTTGAAGCAATAAGAACATACGAATGTCTGGTATCAATATCTGATACAATGACTAAATGAATGACCAGTCATCAAAAGTCATTTACTCTACATATGTTGCTGATCGTTACATGAATTTATCAAAATCAGTGTCGTGGCGCAACAATTGTCACCATTACTATGAAAAATTTGACTAGTTGCACTTGTCCGTTGGTTAGGACAATAATGAGAGGAAGAGGGATAACAACGACTGTTAATTATTTTTTAAAACCTACTCAACTTACCATCATCAAACCTGTTATTAAAAATATACGACAAATTTCTACAACAAACCTACAAGACCAAGACTCTAATGCTAATATCACTTCTCCCACAACTTCATTTACAACCAAGATTGAACAAGAAACAACAAATATAAAAGATAGTAAAGAGGAAACTTCTACTACTGGTTCTTCAAACACTCAACAATCATCATCAAATCCACCAAAAGAATTAAATAAGCCTAAAAATGCATTTACAAAAAGACTAAAAATTATACCTTCAGAAATATCAACAGATTGGTCAAAACCTCTTGAGAAATTGGAGATTCCCATCACTACAAGAAGAAGTATTATAAAATTAATTTTATATATATAACGTAAATAAATAGTAATGGATTTATTAATGATGTTTTCGTTATTTATAGTTTATAATGAGGAATTAAGTATTTTTATAAAGATTAGTAATTTACCATTGACTGCAATTCCAAGAGATATTCACAGTTTAACATATGGAATACCTGGATATAATTACGAATTTACTGACCGTAATTATCAAAGTGAGTTTTTTTTTGAAAAAAAAAAGAGTTGTAAATACTTGATAAACAGATATTCGAATAAATATAATTAATATATTGAGGTTTGATTAATTATTAGTATATTTCATTAAAACTGATCATTTCTTACCAACAAGAACAGCAATAGTAAAATTTAGGAATGAAAGATTAGCTGATATCTTTTTCAGGTATAATGAAAAAAAATTTCGTTTTGGTAATCAATTAGAATTGACTTACATTGTACGTATATTTATAATTAATCTATGCAATTATAAATATATGGAGTTGTTAATAATTCTATTTTCTTCTCTTCATAATATCTCTAGTTACAAAATGAGAAATCAAGAAATAATACTGATTCATTTATGGATTTCCTGAAAAAGAATACGGTTATAAAATATGGACCAACACTTTCACTTTCAGGTAGATTGGTACTAGTCACAGGACTTCCAAAGCAAATCAAGATTGCTAGATTGGCTAGTTTTTTTGATGAATCAAATACAAACAAATTCAAGTTAAATGATCTAATAGAAATCACAAGGTATTTATTATTTAAATTTCCTTTGTAAAATATATATATTTATGTACGTGTTATTGTATGATATATGCTACGTTATTTTATTAAGTTTGATTTTTTTACTTGGTGTAAAAAGTTCAAGTTACAGATACTCAAAATATATTCTTAGATTCAGGAGTATAGATGATGCTTATCGTGCAGTAAGGAAATACCACAATACTTATTTTGATCCAATCAATCATAATGATTTGTATAAAATAAAGGCACAAATAGTTTATTAAATAACAGGATAATTCATTATTGTCATCAATATATATAGAATAAAAAAAGGAAACAATGAGAGGAACACAAAAAAATGGTTTATCTAGATTTTTACTAAATAATTTATTGTTTTTTGTCTAAACAAATGAAAAAAAAATATTAATATTAATATGAGACGAGTGCAAAATAATACGTTAATTATGTTAAACCATTTAAAAAAAAAACAATACTAACCTCTTACATTGAACATATACTAAGTACAAGTCCTACATAGACAGCCTACAATAAGGTGTCTCGGGTGTAAGCCCCAACGTCGTGAACGACTC